GCTTCGCCGAACCCCCTCACCCGCCCCGGTTGCAGTCCTCCAGCAGTGGCTTGGCCTTCCTAACCCGTATAGCAGGGAGTTCGACCGTACCTGCCATCCTCGTTGCAGCCCGCATCCCCATCCCTTGTAGCCGCGGTGTCCTCAACCCCTGCACTTTCCCAGCAGAGCGCCGTGCGTGCCGGCACCCCTGGCACCGATGGCGGGGCTGCTGCCATGTTGTGGGGAGAGCCTCGTGGGGGAGAGGGACGTCCCTCCTAGGTACAGAGAGGGGGCACTGGCCTGCCCTGTCTCCGCAGGGGATGGGGTACAGGAGGCTGGCTCTGGGCTGACCTGCAGATAACAGTGCCTTAGCACTGCATGCTTGGACACCTTGGGCTTTCTGTGGTGCGGAGGGGGGTGCCCTATGCAGATTAGGCGGGCATTGGTCAGGATGCCAGTAGAGGGACCCTGCCTTCGCAGAGAGGGGCGCTACGAGTCTGTCTGGTTTTGTTCACTTCCCCTTGGAGACCCCCTTTTTTGTTCATTATGTGCCTTTGTTGACCTGTTTCTTGCTGGCCACGTGTCCTGCCTGCAACCCCTGACTTGATTTCTCCCCTGTGACCTGCACTGTTTCATGAAATAATCTGGGCCTTGGCCTTTCACGTAGGCTGGCCAGTTGTGAGGCTGAGAACCTGTTTCTGTAACATACCCAAGCTGCTGAAGGCGAGCTGTGCCAGTGTTCATTGTGTGCACATTCTGGTGCAGCTCATAGGCTGCAGCTGTGGTCAGTATCCCACTGGCTTCTGTTCCCAGTAACCTCAGCTCACCCGTTCTCTGTTTTTCCCTGAGGTACAGCCTGTATTTTTTTACCTCATCCTACTTATGCCCAACCCTTTACCCTTCCACGGCCTCTCGGTGCACAGGCTGCCCTGTGGCGGTGTGTTCTTGCTGTGGGTATGTGCCGAGGAAGACTGGGATACCAGTGACTCCTCAGCTTGAGTAGGACATTCTTGCTGATCTTTTGGGTGTGGCTTTTCGGGATTCCCCAACTCTGATAGCTCAGAGTGCCCTTTGGAGGAAAGGTTGTAGCTAATTGTGGTGAGGGTATCTTTGTGCAGCAATTATAGTGGGAGTTTGTATTAATGGATCTGTTTTACTTTTCAGCACTGAGAATGGAGAACTATAAGAAGACTAAAATTGTGGAGAAACCTTGTCCTCTTCCTTTCACTGACCTGCCCCCTGATATTATTGAAATGAAAGTGAAGGACGGGAGCAAAATCAGAAATCTGATGGGTTATGCTATCAGCAAGATGGAGCTGGACTCAGTGAGACAGATCCTTTTCACTGGCTCAGGCAAAGCCGTCAGCAAGGCCATTACCTGTGTGGAAATCATGAAACGAAGGCTCAAAGAGCTGCACCAGATCACTAAAGTGCTCTTCAAACAGATTGAAGAGATCTGGGAACCCATTGTGCCTGAGGCAGGCCTTGATGCCTTGACAGTGAAGAGAAACATTCCTGCCATATGTGTCCTACTCAGCAAAGACGCCCTTGATCCTCAGGAGCCGGGATACCAGGCTCCCGGCTCTTTTGATGCCTTCTGGATTGAGACACTTAAAGAGGAGTCCCAGGGCCAAATGAAGAGGAAGCAGGGTGGAGGCAGGGGAGCTGGCAGCATGGGAAAGCACCCTCGGTCCACTGGAAGAGGGCTGGGGGAGTCCTGCTCCAAGTCCTGAGACAATGATGCTGAGTTTGGGTGTGGTTTGGGGGAGTTACGGAAAGAATCCAGCTGCAGTAGCTGGAAAGCTGCTGCTGAACATGGGGGTTTGCAAAGTTGTTAGGGGAGGGCAGGAGAAGTTAACTGTTTCACAATGGATGTGATTATAGCTGTCTGAAACTGTATTTTGACAACTTGCCTTAAACGCTGCTGGGCTGTGCTCCTTAGCCTGCAGTTCAGGGAAGGCAGAAGTCATCTCTGCTTGAGCGAGGAGTGTTGGCGTCTTGTCAGCGAGCCCTGGCGATCGGCTGCTCACTGAGCGGAGCTCCAGCAGCTTGGGGCGGCGCGGCAGCCCAGGCAGCGGCACACCCGCCAGGCACCTGTGTGTGAGGTGGGTGGAGGTGGCTCTCACTGTGGTGCAGAGGGGAGACGGGACCTGACGTGGATTCCCCTGGCGGCTGCTCATGTGAGTGGACAGTGGGGCACTGGGCTGGGTCTGCCACGTCAGTGCCTGAAAGTCCATCTTCTGCTGAGCCCATCAGGTGGTTTGAACGTGGAACTGCGGGAATACAACTGTGTGATTGTGTGTGCATTGCACCCCTTGTGTCCTCCTTTCACCTCGGTGGACCTGACAGCTACGCACCTCTCTGCCAAAGTGGCAGGAGTCAACTCATGTCATAACCAGCTTGAAATCCTGTAGCTGTGCAAGTGCCCTGGGGTGGTGACAATGGTAAGCTTCAAAGGACCCTGTTCTTTCCCCTTTCTGCTCCTTTAAAATGCACAGAGATGGGTTTAAAATAAAGTTTCCTTTTCATGTAATGTGAATTTTGTCATGTCTTCCTCATCCCACTGGAGGTCACCCTGTAAGCGTTGCTGGTGGGATTGTGGCTGCCGGCTGAAACTTTGCTCTTTCAGCTCTCCTTGAGGAAGAGGGGACCTGCTGGTCCACAGTTATCCCTCTCATAACTAAACAGACCCTGATGCGAGGGGGAGAGTTTTTCTTCCTGCCTTTGCTGTTCATCTTTAATATCCAGTTAAGATCAAGGTTGCTTTTTTCCTGGGAAGCTTGTTGCTATTTTTTGTTTTGTTCTTTTAAACTAACTAGAACTGCAGTCTCAAAAATAGCCCAAACTCCGCTGAGTGAGGCACAGGATGGAGCATCTTTTCTTGCGCAATGGTTTCCCTTCTGGAGCAGCTCTGGTAAGTAATGCCGGGCAGGAAGAAAGGGCTGTTCCCTCTCGCCAGAACAACCCCGGCTCACAGCGGGTCTGGAGCACTGCCTGTCCTGCCCGCTCTTCTCCTCTTCCCTGGTTGGTGCCTGTGTTGGCCTGTGCAGAGCTCCAGCTGGACCTGGTGCTCTGCTTTGTCCATTCAATGGGAAATGGTGCAAGCATTCAAAGAAGGGATTTTACCTAAACCGAGGAAGCAGGAGAGAGACTCTGTTACCCGTGCAACCCAGCGCCCTCAGAGGCAAGGCTTCACCTTGCATCACGGTGAACTTGCACACCAGCCGAGTGCCCAGTGCGAGCTGGACAGTGCCAGGTTTACACGCCTCTTCCTCCTCCCCTTCCCCTGGTAGACCTGTCGTGCTCTGCCCTGCTGTTGTCCCCGGAGCTAACGAGGTGGTTGGGGAAATGTCCAGACCTCTCTGCTGCACTAGTGCAGGTGAAACCTGGGGGTGGGGCAGAGTTAAGCTGATTTATCTTGATGCTGTTCCCAGCTGCTGCTCCCTTAGATGTAAGGAGGAGACTGCTTTTCTTGACTAATTAGATTAGCGATAAATGCCAAGGAAAGATGCTCGAGTGCCTGATGAGACTGCTTCTGACACTGCAACAAGCAGTGTGTTTGTGTTTGTTTACTGTTAAAATCACCCTCTTAGCGGAGAGCCAGATCCTCAAACAGCCTGTGTAATCCTCCCTCGTGGCGGTGGCACATTTAACGCCTTCTCATCAAAACAGCTAAGTGATAATTATTTTTGTTTCACTGTTTGAAAGTTACCCTTGGCTGACTGCAGCCGCTCTCCTTTCTGTGTGCTGTGGCACGCAGCAGTGCCGGAGCTTTCCTTCCCCAGGCTGGAGAGGGAGCAGCTGCCTGTCCATCCCTGAGCCCCCTGAGCAGCCCATCGGGTCAGCCAGGAGGGGTCCCTGGCTGTCTGAGGGATCTGCTCTTCATCCAGCTGCCTCCCTCCCCCGGTGTCACACACTGTGTGGGGCTGCCCGGACAGACAGGCTCCCCTGTGCCCTGAGAGGGTGCAGCAGATCCCCTCATGTCTCCACTGTGTGTCTGTGCCGCCAGACGGACATGTGGCCCAGCCGCGGCTTTTCAGAGCAGTTGCGGGTGCTGGGACCTGATCCCTGGGGGTCCCCAGCAACCCCCACAGCTGTGGGGAGAGCCCCTGTGTGCCCCAGCTGCTTCCCCTCTGTGCCACATCTGTGTCTTTCAGCCAGGGTGACACCCCACACCAGGGCGTCTCTGGCTCCGATCCCCATATGCAGGCTGGCGGTTGCAGCTCAGCAGGGCTGTGCTGTCCCGTGCCTCAGTTTCCCCCTGCACAGGACAGGGAGAAGCCAACTGTGTCTATGCGGCTGCTGCTGCCCAGGTCCCTGGGGTACTGAGTGTCCCTAAATGACCTGTCCCCCCTCCACAGACTGCAGCAGCGCCTGTGCCCACCTCTGCCTGCCTGCGACCCCCATGTCCCGGCAGGGACCCCAGCCTAGTTGCTCCACCCTCAGGTATGTGTGTGTGTACGTGTGCACATGTGTGTGCAAATGTGTGTGCACATGTGTGTACAGGGGCAGGGCAGGCAGCAGCAGGTGGTTAAGGGCAGGACGAGGCAGCAGCAGGCAGAGCCAGGCAGTGCCCCCTGGGCCTGGCAGAGCTGGGCAGATCCAGAGCAGGGCCAGGCTGAGCAGGTAAGGGCAGCGTGGGCCACGCAGGCAGGGCAGTACAGGCAGAGGCGATAGAGGCAGCATGGGCAGTGTGGGGAAGGCAGGGCAGGCAGAGCAGTACAGGCAGCACGGGCAGGACAGGGCTACAAAGGAGGACAAGCGTGGCAGCATGGGCAGGACAAGCAGGACGGTACAGGAGGGCCCGCAGGACGGAAGAACAGCACGGGCAGGACAGGCAGGGCTGTACCAGTAGCAGAGACAGGGCAGTACAGGCAGGACAGGAGGGGCAAAG